AGAACATAAATGAAAAGTACATTGGTTTTTAGTTTCTGTGTTTGATATCTCATTTTTATTCTTGGTGCAAGCAAGAAAACCTTGATACCTTAGAGAATAGCAACAACCTCTTTTCATTGTTCTGTGAATCCGTATGACAGAAATGTCTATAGTAGATAGGTAACTTAATGTAAAAACACTTTAAAACCAAAGGAGAAGAGAAAAAAAGATATAAGATAATACTTACGTGCATGACAAATAAGAGCATTGTATACATTCATCTATAACACAAGTTTTTTCTGATGTGTCAACTTTCTCGGTTCAATACCTTCCAATTTGCTAATAAGCAAGCTGTATGGCATAGCAAGATGAAAAGAAAAACTAAGGAGATTGGATTAAAAAAAAAGATAGAGATGGATTGTGTCAGATTTGAATGTATATTCATTCACATCATTAAAAATATATACAATTATATTGACAAATCTAATCAATATAAAAAAAATTATTATATAATAATTCAATGAAATTTAATTTCTATCTTTTATTCGATCCTTAATATATATATATATATTTAATTAATAATATAATATTTAAAAATGAGTTTATAATATAATAATTCAATAAAAAAAAATTTTCTTTTCTTCGATCCTTCGTACATATATGTATATATTTATATTGAATTACTAATATAATTTTTTAAAAATTAATAATAATGGTTTTTTATAACGAAAACATTTTATATTAAAAAATAGGGAAAATGACATTTTTCTACACCAACTTTGCAAAATGTGACATTTTCCTACACGAATTTTTAATTTGACAAAAAACTACACCAAATTATCAAATATGCCAAATTGATACACGAACTACCCAATTTAACTGCAATTTCCTACACAATCCGAAAACAGTGTTAAGTGTCCGTTAACCGCTGACGTGGTACGCCACGTGGCGGCTGACATGCCACACCACATAGATTTTTTGCCACATCAGCATGCCACGTCATATTTTTTAAAAAAATTCCGAAAAAATATGAAAAAAAAAAATCGATTTTTTTTTAAAATTTAAAATAAAATAAATAAACAGCAAAAAAAAATATATATGTATATTCATATCTATATACAAATAAAAATATAAATATATATACAAAATAAAAAACATACACATATATATACAAACATCTATACAAA